GCGCCTTAGCCGGTTGAGCTATAGGCGCCAAGCCTGTTTTTGTTTATTATTTAATCAACTTGAAAACACAGTGGGCAAAAGAAATTCCACACAGAGTGAAGCAGGTGCTTGGTCTTAGAGCCAGCGCCGGGCTTCTGTGTGCGTGTTGAATAGGTAGTCTCTGCCTGTACCTAAGTCCAGATGGGCAGGAGAGAGAAAGGTTGCTGCTAGCCATGGCAGAACTGCCTCCCTCCCCAAAGGAGAAGGAAAGACACTATAGAATCCTAGGTGTGATGCCTTGCTTTTTCTGGGATCCAATTTGGGCCTTCCCTGCCTTCTCAGCAAATTCTCTGAAGTCTGATTCAGATGCACAGTAAACCTCTTCAACGCTCCAAAACTGGACAACAGCTTTCCTAAGGCCAGTGCTAGATCACTCTGCCATAATTGGTGATACTGGAGTATCTGGGGGCCTCTCCCCTCACTATCAACCTTCCTCCCCTGTGGGCAGGAACCGAACCAGGTCTGAGTCATCTCCTGGCCCCACAGGTGTTTGTTTACAAAGGTCAACTAGAGGGTGAGAATGGGGTGAGATTTGCTCTTCTGTATTGCTAGAGTCTTTGGACTCAACAGTTTCCTTTGAAATGCCTCCCCCCATCATTCCTCCTAAAAAACTGTGTCTCCTCACTGTCCAAGTTCCTCTCTTCCCACCCCCAAGGGCCTGAAGAGCCCCCTCACTATGGCTCTGTGGGTACTGGTATCTTTTCCCAATTCAGAAAAGAGATAGTAGATGCCTGGTAGTAGTAGGAGGTACTTAGTTGGAATTAGGAGAAGAAGAGATACTGAAATGGGATGAAGGCCCAGGTAAAGAATGATTTGGGAAGAGGGGAACTCACGGGAGTCCTGTGCTCTGCCATCAAAATGCTTCTGAGGGGAAATATGAGATGTGCAATGAGTTGAACCCTGCCCACAGGGGAGCAGATGGAGGCCTGCCCCTGGAGAGGTCAGGAACCCATCTGCCTCCTCTCTCCTGATGGTGCTGAAGTGGTCTCTCCCACAGGGGTAGCCATTCTCAGGAAAATGGGCAGGCTTGGCAAGGACAGGCAAGTGCTCTGGCAGCCTCAGTGCCCACTACTCAGGATGGTAAGTTGACATACCAGGCTTATGATGCTGCTGGGTGCCGGGGACATCTCCATCCTTGGTACCTCCATAAACCTCTCAATGGGCCCCTCAATTCCCTGGATGCTGAGGGAAAGTAGGAGGAGTAATATGGGATAAAGTTCTAGGCCCCAGCCTGAGTTTAAGAGCTGGCCACCAGGGCATAGAAATATACAAAATAGACTGACCTGGTGAGCAGCACAGCCTGGGTTGGTTTTCTTGGTTCCTGTAGCAACTGGGCCAAGCTAAAATGCCAGGAGGAGGAACTAAGCACTGGGGGCAGTAGGCCTACTGGTTTCAGGAACCAGCACCACTCATCTGTCCCTTTATATTGGGAAGAGTCAATGCATGTATGCAATACCCATATTGTTATGCCTCTGTCCCCTGGGCTCAGTCCTATCTCAGAGTCTATAGGAGCAGGGCAGGTTTCCAGTAGAGGACAGGGGTCAGGAATAGGGGTAAATGCTCAAAGCATGACAGTGTTTTAAGCCCTGAACTTATCCACATCCATCCCATTCCAAGACTGAGATCTGCCAATGATGAAGATTCCTTCCTCCCAGTGTCTCTCTGACTCTAATCTGAAGACCTCAGGAGAGCAGCCCTTCTTAATATCAGTTTGGACATCAACTTGGGCATTATCTCAAATCTTGGGTGAAACCACTTATCATTGCCAGGGTCCATAAGTGGTCTGAGGACAGGCAAAGAACACAGGAATAGAAATCCTACCCATGGAGGAGTTTGCAGAGGAGCCAGCCCAGAGCCAAGAGGAAAAGGGCACCTGTAATTGTCAGTACCACCACAAACCAGGGCTCTGGCTGCCAGAAAGCTTCTGTGTCTGTCACAAGCAGAGGTATCATCGAGGGCACCTGAAATGAAAGCCACAGCCCTATGACTGCCCTGCCAAAATGCCCTGACCATCCTGCCTTCAAATCCTTCCATGAGCTGGGCCACCACACCCCAGATTTGCTCTCCTGTATTGCTAGAGTCTTTGGACTCAACAGTTTCCTTTGAAAGGCCTCCCCCCATCATTCCTCCTAAAAAACTGTGTCTCCTCACTGTCCAAGTTCCTCTCTTCCCACTCCCAAGGGCCTGAGGAGCCCCCTCACTGTGATTCTGTGGGTACTGGTGGCCACTGTGTTAGCTTTCGAGGGAACTAGATGCACAATGATGGTGGCTGTGGTGCTGAGGTGGGAGATGGAGGGCCCTGCATCAGCCACACGAATCAATAGCTCATAGGTATGGGGCTGCTCTGGCCAGGGGGACCCCAACACAGGGTCATAGTACACCAGGAAGGCTCCTTGCAGGCTGAATCGGCTCTGGCTATTCCCTGAAAGCAGAGTGGCAGAAGGTGGGTACCATTGCTGACCTTGGCCTGCCACTCACCCACAACCCAGTGTTCCCCATGGTTCCCATAGCCCCCACCTCCCACAATGTTATAGGAGAAGGGCAGGCGCTGTGGCTCCTGAGGGATCCAGCATGACACCTTGGTCACTTCCACACTATGGCCCAGAGGAGTGTAGATGGTGAGTTCCTGAAATGAGGGCTCACACTCCGGGGCATAGTCATTCACATCCTGCAGAAAGGCAGCCATGTTAGGAGTGGGTGCAACCACCTCCCCAAACTTCTAAGCCGGCCCCTCAACTTCCTCCCACCACAGCCAAAGCCAAAGGATGAGGCAACAGGCCCCACTCCCCTCTAGCCAACTAATGGAAAAAACTGAAGCACAGCAGGGAAAAGCAGAATGGAAGAGGGGAGAGAAGTGAATAATACTTTGTTCCAAGTATTTCCAAGGCCTTGGGGCTCAATTACCTCAACCTCAATGGTGATGGTACAGGAGCCTGAGCGGTGATAGGTGGGGTCCCAGTCTTGGCCATAGTCAATCAGCAGGACAGTGAGCCTGTATAGCCTCTGCTGCTCATAGTCCAAAGGTCCTAGGAGATGAACCTCCCCTAGAGGGGGTGGCCATCATCTCAGCCTTCAGAGCCAACTCTGGCTCTACCCATCCATCCCCACCCTGACATAGAAGTACCACTGAGACGGTCCACAGCAAAAATGTCAGGCCAGCCAGAGGTGTAGTACTCAATGCTGTCATGCGGGTAATCCATATCCGTGCCCGCCACAGAGCCTACAGTGTGGGGCTGTGCATCTTCCCGAACCCGGAACGTGCGTGGGGCACAGGCTGGGGAGAACTCATTGACAGGTGTCACCATCACCAGTACTGGCACTTCAGCTGGGGGCCATTTGGCAGTCAAGGAGCTGGCCTGGGGTACCTAGCCCTGACCTGGGGGTCTGGGAAGGGGAGACATGGCTCTGCCCTAGAGATGTCTAAGGAAGAAGGTCTGGAGGGAGGTAGTAACCCTTCCCTGCTGGTGGTCTAAGAGAAATACCTGGGGGGTTAAAATGGAGACAGCACTACCCACTGGATTCTGACAGTGGAGAGATGACCTGTCCTGGGGAGAGAAATAGGGGGGACAGAACAATCCTGTTCTAAAAGTTCAGGCTTCAGTATAGTCACTCACTGGTCATCTGGGGCTGACCACCATCAAGCACCAGGATGGAGGCTGCATGCTGGAAGCAGGCTTCAGGAGTATCACAGTCCAATGTGGCATTCACCTGGCCAGAGAAGACAGAGAGTGAGGCCCCTCCAGAACCTGGGAGAGACTTGAGCCATACTGGGCTACCTCTGGCCAGACAGACCACCTTGATCCTGTTTCCTAGACTGCGAAGCAGGTTGCCTTAACACCCACACCCAGCCCATAGTCTTAGTTGCCACAAACCCTTAGTTCACCCATTCTGTCCTGCAAACACCCTAAAAATGGGTCTGGGAGCAGAGATTGAGCACCTCAAGGACTTTGTCGCGAAGGTAGAAGCTGTCAGGGTTGGGATGGCTATGGAACAATAGCTGGTAGTCAAGGGTGGCACCAGCAGAGTCTGGATCAGTGCAACTGAGGGTATTCAGCACAGTGCCCACAGACACAGTCTCAGGGATTTGAGACCTGAGAGTGGAGGGTAGAGGACAAAGTGGGAGTCTGGTCCAGTGGTGAACTATGGCTCTTGCTCCAGCATCTCAGGTAAGACTCTCATGTACTCACATCAGGAGTGCTGGGAGGCAGCGGGGGGGCCATTGGTTGACAGACCACATGTTTACCGTAAGGTTGAGTTTGGCACTGGCCCATGGCTGGAGCCACTCAAAGGCCTTCACCTGCAGCCTGGTGACTACCACACCCGGGGCACGAGTCAAATCCAGTGGTGAGGTGGTCCGGACCACGCCATTTGCTGGACAGAGTGGGAGGATGGGGGATGCAGAGTTTGCCCTGCTTTCAGCTCATCCTCCCTGGCCCCCATGACCAGATCCTGTGGTGGAGGAGAGTCCATTTTCCTCCAAGGCCAGGTTCCAAAATAGGAAGGTGAAGAGGTAGTATGGGGCACCTCTGGACCAGCCACAGGCTTCTTGTACCCGCCCCTCCCCCAATACCCCTCACCATGTCCGATGGAGAAGAGTAGGCTTGGCATCGGGGACAGGATTTCGTAGCGCAAGTCAAAGCCCTGGGCTTGGACCTGAACCACCTCGCTCCCAGGGACCAGGTTGTCAGGGATGGTGATATTCAGGGCCTGCTCCCTGAAACCAAAAAAGGGATACTGGCTCCTGTCATCTCCTGCTTTCCCTGGTGGAGTCCACAAGGCCTTCCCTGGGTTCCCTTCCTACATGAGTTAGGATGATGCTTTAGCAGTCAGCACCCTGATTCCCCAGGACTAGACCCTGAATTCCCCACTGGGCCCAGGGTAGGGAGCCTTACAGGAAGGAGACTCGGTGAGAGGAAGCAGGCAAAACCTTCACCATCACCATCCCCTGGCAGCTTTGGCCTTGTCCATAAGACACTGAGATCTGCAACTGGAAGACCTGGAGTGCACAGAAAACAAAGAAGGAACCACAGTGCGTGTCCACCTCTTTGTCCATGCCCAGTCCTGCCCTCAAAGGGTAGTCTCCCTCAGGACCTCCACAAAGAGCCCCAACCTTCACTCTTCTCATGATTGTAACTCTGCTAACAAGTTTTCCTTTGAGCCCTTAACCTTTGGGCCATAAATTCTTCTATTAGGATGTAAACAGCTCAAGAAAGAATAATATCAGAGTCATTTGTAATTGAATTATCACCTAACAACCAGTCACTGAGAGGTGAAAATTTTAAAGTGGGAACTTCTCTGACCTCCAGACTGCACTGGCCATTTTACCCAGACATTTTTTCTTCTTTCTTTCTTTTTTTTTTTTTTCTTGTTTGAGACAGAGTCTCAAGCTGTTGCCCTGGGTAGAGTGCCATAGCGTTACAGCTCACAGCAACCTCAACTCTTGGGCTTAAGCGATTCTCTTGCCTCTGCCTCCCAAGTAGCTGGTACTACAGGCACCCACCACAACGCCTGGCTGTTTTTTGGTTGCAGTTGTCATCTTTTATTTTTAGCTGGCTCTGGCCAGGTTTGAACTCACCAGCCTGGGTGTATGTGGCTGATGCCCTACACACTGAGCTACGGGTGCCCAGAAGTTTTTCTTAATGTGTAATTGCCCTGAACACTCTCCTTTCTATCAGTGGGACTGTGAGCTCTCAAAGCCAGGAACTCCTCTTTCTGGAACTCCAGAGCCAAGCACTGAATGAGGCCAAGGTGGGAGGGTAGCCAGTATGGTGCAGCAAATGCAGGACTGGGAGAGGCAGCCTTAGTCAAGGAGGCCAAGAAGACCAAGAACAAATAAATTTCTAGAAGGCAGTGGCTCTACACAATCCATGGATACCCTCAGGTCCCAAGTCACACTCACCTTTTCAGCTTGGCCTTTGAGGCCCTGGGATGGTGCCTGCAGCCAACCTTGCTCATTGATGGAGAAAGGTCCAGGGAAGTATGGAGGGTCCTGGACACTGATAATGCTCATCTGACAGAATAGAGATGCTTGGGATCTTGTCCAGCTCCCAGTGCCTTGAGCTCCCCCGTAAACATCCTCAGCAAATCTAGAAGGCACCTCCCACACCCATTTCTCCCATGCCTTACCACTGACCTGTACTGCAGCCTGGACTCCCTGATCTCCTCCCTGAGCCCTGATCCTGATCCTCACTCCTTCCTGCTTTTAAACCAATTACTTTGCTTTTTAACTACATATTTTTTATTATAAAACTGATACAGAATTGTCATAGGAAACTCATAACACATAGGTAAATTGGAAAGAACTCATCCCCTGAGATGTACCGGTGGGAACAGCCATGGTCACTGGGGGGTGAACAGCCCTCAGCAGCTGTCTCTAAGAACATACATCATGCAGAAGCTTAGCTGTGCCTGGCCAGGCAGGGACTGAGTTTAGTGCCTTCAATGACCTGCCCTTATCCTGTCATCCTCTCTCCCATGTGCTGGGCTTACCTGGGCTCCCTGGAATTCTAGGCCTGGAAGCAGCAGAGTGTATAGCCTGGCCCCAGGTGTGACTGTCTCTGGCACCTGAATCATTTCTCCAGCTAACCAAAGAGGAAGTCAAGGAGGATCTGTTTAGGCCATGCCTTTCCACACCCTGCCTATTGCCCCTGGCCTCACCTGGGCTGGAAAATTGACTAGCACACTGGATATGGCCAAGGTCCCGCTGCACATCCACAAAAAGTGGTCTCTCCATCACGTGGCTGCCACAAGTGAACCGAAGCTGCAGCTCATAGTGGTTCACCATCAAGGCATCCAGCCGAGCTGAGCTGCTCAAGGTTACCTATGGTAAGTGGGTAGTGCCATATGGGGCTTTGGAAATTTCAGGTCTGTCCTGCCCTTGTGCCCCACAGTCTCCAGCTGCATCCATAACTCTACCTGGCCCACATAGATCCCTTTCCATCTGGCCAAGCTGGGTGGGTTGAAGAAGGTGGTGGGTGGCTGCACATTGAGCAATTCCAGGGTAGGCGTGTGGAAGGAACAGTTGAAGGAGAAAGACTGAAGGATGGTGCCTGGGCCTTTGCTCTCGGAGATATTTATAAACCAGGGCAGGCTGTGGAGGTCTGTGAGGAGCAAGTGATTTAGGCTGGAGGCCCCCCATGCTCATGCAACCACACGTACCAGCATAGTCCTGCCCTTCTGCTATAGGGCCTGGCCACATCTTAAGGTCAAGTGGCCAAGGCCTTTCCTTGTCCCCTACATCCAACATTTCACAAATGGGGAATGAGAACTTAGTCCAGGAAGCCCCCAGGATAAGGAATAAGAGTTGGGGTTCGGACCTTATGCTTTCCTGTCTCTCCCCCAATCCTGCCCTCCAGGGTAGCTTATCTGAGAAGAGTCAGGACTCCCAAGAGAAAACTAGGGTTTGCCCACCCACCAGCTCCTCACCAGAAACAACCAGAGCAAAAAGGAGTGCCAGGAACTTGAGCAGCACCATAGTGGCCTGAAGATATAGACCGCAGAAGTGGCTTCAGGAAGCCAGGCTGTTTGTTAGGCCCACCCCGTTGCCAGGTCAGTTGCTCAAACACAGGTAGGCAGGCAAGACTCTTGAGCCTCCCAGATCCTAGCCCCACCTATCCCTGGTGACTAAGCTCTAGATCCCTGGAAGGTTTCAAGAGCCCTGGAAAATCCCATTTTCTACTTCCCCCAATGAATGCCCCCACTCATTACCACAACCCCAAGGGGGTGTGAGGAGAGGAGGATTAAAGTTCAGTTGGTAAAACTGGTCATGGCAATCCTTAGAGACAGACCAAGCACATCATCCAGGAAAATTAGGCCCAGGACCTATAACTCCGCAGTCTGAACTTCAGCTGCTCTGCTCCCTCCCCTAGAGCATTATCTGCTTACAAAATATGAGGCTGACCCTAAACAAGATTTCTCAAAAGTTGTCAACATATAACAAGCAAAAGGGTCTGCTTTTACTTCTATTCATGATAGAAATAAAAATATTGGTAACCTGTGCAGCGCCTGTGGCTCAGTAAGTAGGGCACCGGCTCCCATTTATCGAAGGTGGCAGGTGCAAATCCACCTCTCACCAAACTGCAACAAAAAATAGCCAGGGCATTGTGGCGGGTGCCTGTAGTACCAGCTACTCAGGAGACTGAGGCAAGAGAATCGCCTAAGCTGAAGAGCTGGAGGTTGCTGTGAGCTGTGATGCCACAGCCCTCTACCAAGGGCAATAGAGTGAGACTCTGTCTCAAAATATATATATATAGGTAACCTTTGTGCATATCAACTGGAAGGGGCACAAGGTGGCTTCCTGGAATTACTGAGGATATTCTATATCTTGATCTAGGTGGCAGGTGCATGAGTGTCTACAGATTTTAACATTATTTGAGATTTGTCCATTTATTGTATTTATATTTTATATCAATTTTCTGTTGATTATATTTGCCATTTAATTTAAAGATTTTTTTACTGTAGTAAGATACATATAACATAAAATTCAAGATGTTAGCCTTTTTTTTTGAGACAGAGTCTCAGTTTGTTGCCCTTGGTAGAGTGCCATGGCATCATAGCTCATAGCAACCTCAAACTCTTGGGCTCAAGACATCTTGCCTCAGCCTCCCAGGTAACTGGGACTACAGACACCCACCACACACCTAGCTGTTTTTTAGAGATGGGGGCTAACTCTTTCACAGACTAGTCTCAAACTCTTGAGTTCAAGTGATCCACCTACCTTGGCCTCCCAAAGTGCCAGGATTATAGGCATAAGCCACCATGCCTGGCCTAAAAATCTTAACTTTTTTTTTTTTTATTTTTGAGACAGAGTCTCACTTTGTTGCCCTGGGTAGAGTGCCTTGGTGTCACAGCTCATAGCAACCTCCAGCTCTTGGGCTTAGGCAATTCTCTTGCCTCAGCCACCCGAGTAGCTGGGACTACAGGTGCCTGCCACAATGCTCCGCTATTTGTTGTTGTTGTTGCAGTTTGGCCAGGGCCAGGTTCGAACCTGCCATCCTCAGTATATGGGGCCAGTGCCCTACTCACTGAGCCACAGGCACCCCCCAATCTTAACAGTTTTAAATGTAGCATTCAGTGGTATTAAATACACTCCTGTTATGCAACTATCTCCACCATCTATCTCCAGAACTCTTTTCACCTGGCAAAACTGAACTCTGTACCGATTAAATACTAACTCCCCATTCTTCCCTCCTCCTAGCCCCTGAAACCACTGCCTTTTATTTTATTTTATTTATTTATTTAGAGACAGAGTCACTATGTCGTCCTCTGTAGAGTGCTGTGGTGTTACATAGCTGACAGAAACCTCAAATTCTTGGGCTTAAGCGATTCTTTTGCCTCAGCCTCCCAAGTAGCTGGGA